TCCTGGGCAGACACGCGCGCATCCAGACTCTCAACAGCCGTTTCAAGGCCTGTGAGACGCGTGGAGACCTCTTTGAAGTGAGCATCGATTTTGCTGTTAGTAGCATCGATTTTATTATGATGATAGCTTCATTATTGGAGTCTATCTTATTGTGTAGTGTCTAGACGAAGTCCTTGAACCAGGCCGGAACCTCCTCGGGAAGTTTGGACATTTCAGTGACGTACAAGCATGTAGGTGGATTCACAGTGTTATCCTCAACTAGACCACGAGCCTTGTCCAGCGTAAATTTGCGAGCGTTTACACTGGCAGATTTTGTGACAATGGATGCTCTGGAAGACTCGGCCTGAATTTCCGAAATTACGTCGTTGTCCTTGATAGCAAATGCTCTGAGGCATCAAGCACTGGTTCCTTTTTTACGCAGATATGGAGCAGCACAGGTGGGATGTACACACTTGTGACAGGCGTTGCATTGACGGTATTCTCTCGTGATGTTCGAATTACGTCTAGCACATTCGGGCATCGCCTAAATATCGTGACATCATGGCAGGAAGCAAGAATTAGCTCATGTAGGTGGAAAGGCTTGAAAAGAGTAATTGGTGTTTGTAAATGAGGTAAGTATAATGATAAAATGCAAAAAAATGTTGGTGGTAAGAAGTGTACGATACGGCAAGATGAATGAACGAGAGCAGAATGAGGGCAACGCTACAGGCACAGTTTTACACGAACCAAAATTAATGTAGTCACTTTGATGACATATTGAAAGTTGCACAATATTCAGTCTTTTCTTCACAGTTGTTTCATACAAACGAGCTCACAGACTGTTACTGGAGCAAGTATACTTATACGAAGTACTTATTTAGCATGTGTAGCGCACAAATTCCCAGCGACGAGTCTCACACAAAAATGTCAACGAACACTCACAGGTCTCACCGCATAAGCAGTCGACAGTACAACAGCAGCCGTCACAATAAACGATAGGCAACGCGACACCAGCAGACAGCTCGGTACACCAGTCGATAGTTGCAGTGCCTCTGTGCATTAGAAGGCGATGGTTACGTAGGGCTCTTCCTTTTCTATAACCTAGAAACTCGAGTATCCGGCTCGTCGATGGGTTCCTCGTTCACCCCACGTTTCGGTTTCTCACTCGCACAACACTCTCGAACCTTGTTGGGCTCCTCGACTTCACTGAACTTGCTCGGACGACGGGCGTGACAAACGCTGGGAGGGAGATGCGTAGATCCACATGAGTCGATTTCAACGCCAAGCTAGCTAGGAGACGATCGATGGCGAAGTACACTAACCTCTAATTGAATACCAGCCGACATTTAATGATAAAAAATGGTCGCTTGCAAGGACGATGAGGCAACGAATTCGCGGCAGTGGCATTGCAGAAGATAGCATGCAAGATTCGTCTGAAAAAATAGGTGCCCGTGGGCAAAAAACTGAAGCAGAAACCAAAATACCACAGAGCTCTACATATGTACGAGAGAGATAGATAGATAGACAGATAGACAGATAGATAAATAAATAGATAACTTCATTCGGTCTTAGGGGAATCCTACCTGGGACAAAAGATACAATAATTGAATGGTATTAAATATTTACAACATTCTTTTTGACATTAATATGTAGTAATTACATGAAGTAATAGCAATAATAGACAGTAGTAAGCATAAGAAGTGCAGTGCTGCAAAGTTTCGATACTGGTGCGTACGTATAATCCCTCTCAGCTACAAATTTGAGATTAGATAGTTTATTATTTATAACGATTTTATATAATAGTAAGCATATTAAGTACAATATGTACAGATTTTTGATGCACATGTGTAAGATTCTCGATCTCAAGGCTACACTCGCTGCCCAGTGCAATCTTGTGAGTGTGGTTCTCGCTTCAGGCGCCATCATGCGTGCTTAAGGAGCATTTTTTTCAAAAATTTGTTTTTTTAAATTTCAAAAATAAATTTCGGTTTATCAAATGATTTGATATTTCGAACTTAATTGAATCATTGAAAAATTGAAAAAGTACTTGACATACTTTTTTCTTTGTCTATCTTTTTTAATTTTTTTTTTAATTTTCAAAATAAAATGTTTTTGGTCCTAAGACCATAACAAAATCTGGGAACAAGCTTTTCCCTTAATTCTTATAAGTAATCTTCACTTTTACTCAATCACAAGGTAGGAAAAGAATTTAATTTTTTTTTATTTTTAACGATAAATAAAAACCATCTTTGGAGGAATCTCCTTGGCAATAAATTGGCATCGGTTTTTTCCCAATTGAGAGTGTTTTTTCAAATGCATTTTGGAGCACAAAATATGATACAGCAGGCCCTCCATATTCGCGGATTCAGTATACGCGAATTCTATATTCGCGGAATTTTCTGTTGATACCTTCACTCCGTATCCGCGGAAACAAAATTCGATATTCGCGGTGTTTACCTGATGCCAAACACAACTTTTTGGTTAACTTTTGTATTTGTTGTTTACATTTTTTAAACGATGGCATTAAATCCTTATAAAGAGTTGCACACAGACATGGTTCGGCGAATAAAACAATCCCGCATTACAGAATATTTTGAAAAATGCCAATAAAATAAATACATTCAATTATTCAATATTTTTGTTATTCGACATTATTATTATTACATGGATTATTATTATTTTTCAATTATTCGCGGATTCCGTATTCGCGGTGTTTTTTAGGAACCTAACTACCGCGAATACGGAGGGCCTACTGTACATCATGTATTTTTTGTATGCTCTTACTAAGGTATCTTTTCAATAACTTAATAAGGATACTTGGGCTTGTCATTTTTATTTATTGGAGTATGGTAGTAACATTTTAGGGATACTTTGCGTTGAAAAATCCGATCATAGAGTGGTGGTACACTTCAGACACTAGTCTGTACACTAGAGCCCGTTTGATTCAGTTCGCTACTGCAGATTACGTTTTTAATGAGGTTAGGGGCTTCTGCAATTTTCGATGCTACTTGTCAAGAAATCGAAGGTTAGGTACAAATAAGTTGATAATTTACAGAGAGGTAGTACAAAAATGTAGGTTTGGCAAAACTGCGCTTAAAAATAATAAATATTAGCGAACCAAATCAAACGGACTCTAGTGTATGTTCCGGTAATCCAAAAGCTCTGTTGAAGTCTTGAGACTCTGGTTTTTGGACAGTGTCACGATAATTTAAAATCTGTATCTGCATATCTTGATTAGGACGAGGAATTCTTGATAAAACGTCAATAATACAGTAATTATCGATTATAAAATTCAAATTATCAACTACTCACCAATATTGGAAATTAAAAAAAAATTAACTTATAAAAATGAAACTAGACAAAGTTCTAAGCTACATTTTTTAAGTGGAGACATATAGGAGTACATTGATCTCATTTAAATTTTTTTATTCTTTTAGAGAAAATGAATTGCTTTTTTATAGATCATCTCACAAAGCATTACGAAAAAGTGTTTGGAAAATTTATGCAGAAATTAACTACAGAAAATTTTACAGAAATCCTCAGGGTCATTCTGCGGAATTTTTTATAGGTAAATTCGCACCGCATTATTCTGCAGCATCTCTTACAGAAAGAAAAATAACGGTTTTAAATCGAATTTTCCTTGCAGATATTTTGATAATTTTGGTTAGAAATAAATTCGTTCGATTTTTAGCAGTAGAGTTTTTTTGGCATTCCTACAGAAAATTTGCTTATTTTCTCGAGGTTTCCCGTAGGAAATTCAGGAGTGCCTGAAGAAGTACCAATACGAATTTAGGACTTCGTTGAAGGATTCCTAGGAGGAATTTTGCGTTTTTCTTACAGGATCCCCACAAGAACTTCCTGTTTATCTCAAGAATTACCCATAGGAATCCTCTGAAAATGCATGTATTTCCTGTAGGAATCCCTCAGGTAAGCGCTAAATTCCTATGGATAATTCTTCAGACATCCGTGGATTTCCTATGAGAATCCTTCAGGTAAATGTGATATTATTGCGGGTAATCCAAGAGAAAAGTGTGAAAGTTCTGTAGGAATCCTGTATAAAAACAAACAATTTCCCCTAGGCATCCTTCAGAAATGTGTGGAATTTCTGTGGAAAACCTTCAACCAGTTAAATCTTGATAAGGCCGGATAATGAAACAACGTCGAAACGTCGACAAATTTGTTTTATAAATAATTTTTGACGGTTGTGGAATAAAAGTTTATATTACAGAACGTTTTTTGACATCCTTCTGAATGTATTTTTTTTTATATGTATAAGTATACTATGGAAGGCAAAACTTCGAAAATAAGTAGATTTATATCTGTCATTATTATTTCCGCAAGAGATTCTGCAGAATAATGAAATGCGAATTTACCTATAGAAAATCCTGCAGAATTACCCTGTTGATTTACTGTAGCATTTTCTGCACTACTTCCATGCACAAATTTGTTCAAGGGGATTTTAATCATCTAATACTAGTACTCCGAGCTGCCTATAGCTCATGTGCTCCATTCTCTTCTGCATACATGAGTAAAAATTTCATTTGTTCATGATTTTCATAAAACAAATTTGAAAAATAGCTCTATACAATTGTATATTAACATACTAAATATTATTAAACTTTAAAAATATAAAAAAATTTGCAATGCAAGCTAAAATTAAAAAGCTACTCTATCCATACATTAATAATTAATTATCATTTATTGATCGGTAGTAATTTTTAAAGCAACCAAATTTGTCCAATCAAATGAATTTTCTGAATCATTTGCTTTTCTTTAACTTTTTAAATTGATTTTGATAAGCTTAATCTAAATGAATAATAACTTGGTCAACTTCTTTAAACAATATCATAGTTAATACTGAAACATGTCGCTCAGTAGAGAACAAAGTATTGTTTCATTAATTAAAGATTTATGCTCAATTATTTTGAGATGAAGCGTGTAGAAGGGTGCATGCCAATTGAAAGTGGGGGTTCAATTTACGATATCTTACACTACAACTTCCCAACAATGCCAATAAAAACGGCTTGTCTTACTCTAATGTTGTTCTTGCGTCAAATTTATTTACGTCGAGCACGTAATAAGCTTGTCTCTTGCATCTAAAAATTATAATTTTTAGTATTTTTGATTTTAAAGTTTTGTTCTTGTTATTATGCATACTCTTGCTGAATTATAGAAAAATTCTATATTGATACAATTGGAAATCGTTTATGGTATTATACAAAATGAAACTATCTAAAAATTCGAGAACTTAGTGAAATAAATCTATAGACATGTTGAAGATTATGTTGAAAATATTTTTTTGAGAAAAACATGCTTTTATTTTTAAAAATTTATTAACGACTATGGTCATTTTTATAAATTTCTCACGTGAAATAAAAGCATACATCAAGTGTATTTTTGTACCATGAATGAATATATTCTTTAAATTTAGTTATGACTAATACTAGAATATTAATATTAATATGCAAATAAATAATAAATTTCAAATAATTGAATCATTATAATCGGTATTATATGAATTTTAATGCAACTTTAAAAAATTATCTGTGGTTTGATTTTTATTATTAAAAGTAACTAACAAAACCTTCCTACAATTTTAATGATTATTTATATTTTTGTAGAAACGAACTTTCTACATAAGATTCATTACATCCAATCATGTCTCACCAGATGAAAGAGAATATCAACTATGTCCGAGACGTCAACAATGTAAGTGCATCCTTGTTGTCATTTTAGTTTCAAAATATAAATGAAAAAGTACATGTATGCTATATGCAAATTATATATTGCTGAATTATTTTATTTTTACGTTTTATTTGGCTTAAATTACTTTTAGGCTACTGAAGTAAATAGTTTGACGTTATGCAAAAATTGAAACAGGTAAAAAAAGTCTTTGCTTTTCACAATACTTTTCAATTTCTAAAACTATTACCCTTCGCCCTTTGAAGTATATAACAATATGAACATATATTGTTTTAACATATAGCTGAAAATTAAATTTTTATATCAATATAGGCATATTCTTCAGAACGCATTCGTTGATTTAACCCATTAACGACCAAACTGCTTGATTTTTTTGTTGGTTTTTGCAGCGATTTTTTTTGTAGTTTGAGGCCTCCAAAAAGTTTCATATGGACCTATTTCGATGTAAAATTTAATGTCCTTTCAGAAACTGAGCTCGAAATTTTGATTCTTTGCGTAATAAAAAAGTTATGGCTACTTATACGAAAAAAACTTAAAATTCTTCGCAAAAAATCAAGTTTTTGATTTTTTACTCACCATGTTACCGTTAGGAAGTCACTATATAAATATGATCAGGGGTGATCACGTCTATCAAGGTATCTCCGAAAATTTTTATGGAATTTTTGAACTGATCCTTTTCAAACTTTGGTTTTTTGCACTTTTTCTCTTAATTCAGTAGTTTTCAAGTAAAAATGAGTTATGTTTTACATGAATATAAGTTATTTTTTGTTTGAAGTAGTGGTTCGAAAATTCCATAAAAATTCCCTGAGATACTTTGATGGTCGTGATCACCCCACATCATATTTATATCGTGATTCCCTAACGGTAACATGGTGAAAAAAATCACAAACTTGATTTTTTGCAAAAAATTTTACGTTTTTTTTCATATAAGTAGCCATAACTTTTTTATTAAGCAAAGCATCGAACTTTTGAGCTCAGTTTCTAAAAGAACATTAAATTTTACTTTGAAATAGGTCCATACGAAACTTCTTGGAGGCCTCAAACTACAAAAACAATTGCTGCGAAAACCAACAAAAAAATCAAGCAGTTTGGTCGTTAATGAGTTAAAATCCAAAGATGCGTTAGCTGGTGAGACAATTTTGCGGGTTGCGTTCGTTTGACTCTTACTTTTATCATATTTTCATAGAATATCTCAGATGCCAAAGAAAATTAATAAACAAATTCTTCGAGAGTGTACTAGTGCTATATAAAATTCATAAAGAGTTCATGTTTAAATTTTTTAAGTACTGAAAGTATTTTACAATTTGCTTATCATGTTTTATCGGAAACCGATGCTTCAGCCCCTTTAAAAATTTACTATAGGATCCCGCGAAATTCCTACAGAAATCCTATTGGATTTTAGTAAGAATATCGCGGGACCCTATAGGAAATTTTTATGAGGGAGGGTAACTTAGTCGTAATTTAAAACATTTTTCAAAATTACTATCAAAGGATTCTTGAAGAGTTATTGAAAATTTTATAAGCAGCCCTAGTGAAGATACATAATGATTTTTATTGGATTTCATAAAGTATTCTTAATCGATGTAAAAGAGGATTTTTTGAGTTCTTACAAAAAATTTTTGAAGCATTTTCAACAAACAGCTGTTTTGCAAAGCATATTTTATGCAGCTAAGTTTATGTGTTTAAATATTTTTCTTATGAAAAAAAATACAACATTACATAGACAAGCGAGATTTTCAGACGACAAAATGAATTAATTTGATCTACTCCTAATGTATTGAGCAAATTTCAAACCTTCTGAATCTGTATGAACGTTTTTTTATTTTTACCGATTTTAAAGCTGTTTTCGATTTGAAAAAAATCTGAAAAAATTCATAAAGGTATATTTCCACTATGCAAACGTCCTTGATCTTTTTTTTTTACTTTTTGGATTTTTCAGGGCTTCAGAAAAAATAATTGAAAATTTAAATAATATTGCTTTCAATGAAGTGGTTCGAAATCGCAGACCAGAATATTTTTTTCCTAATTCTCATATTAAAAAAAATTTCTTGAATTTTTTTGGATTTTTCTGTACAAGGCGCTTTTTTTCCATGCACTATTGAGAAATATACGATACCACAACTCTTCTATGCATTCAATGTTAATTTATATAAGAACTAGAAGAATAGGGTATGTCTGCGATTTTCCCCTAATTCTTCTAGTTTTTATGGGACGCTCACACTGAATACTAAGAGGCTGCAATATTCTACTGCAGTATCGTATACTTCCCAGTAACATCCCAGTTGCAAAAAATTGCATTGATATTCGCGTAGATTATCACACAGATTCCTCAAGGATCGGGCTATGTAGATTTTCGATTAACCTATGAGGATTTTCGCTAGAATCCTCGTGGATCTACGAAGATCCCCGAAGAGTTGGAGAAGTTAAAAATTTTTTGGCAAATACAGGTGGGTATATGGTTGATTATATCGAAAGTCCGGTATTTCACGTCAATAAAATGGAAAATATAAATTGGTTCCCCCGGTATTGTAACTATGAAGCATGGTTTTTAATTTTAAAAATGAAGTAACTGTGGATTGAAAGAGTAGCACATGCTTTATTTACGAAATGAATGAAGTTTCTTCATTTGAGTGCGGTCACGGAGGGGACTTATATGATTTATTTTTCATTTTTTCTTTTAAAAATGCAAAAAATCAGAAAATATGACATCATCATTAGAGAAATCAAAAAATTTCTAATTGAAACAGTATATTCATTTATTCTTTCAGTTCAATTATAATGTCATTATACGAGAGAATTTCAATTATTTCTTTTTGTTTTCTGCTCTCAAACCGTTTTTATCCCGGTTGAAAAAAATTTCATGGATTTCTACGTAGATTAACCACACGGAATTCACCCTGAATCTGCGTGGAAAGTGCATATTTTCCATGTCGTATCAGCGTGGATCATTTTTGTAAAAATCTGCCAGGATTTTTCGATTATTCCGTGAAAACGGATACGAAAGTGCGATTCAGTTTTTAAAAGATAATTGAAAAATCTTAGCAGATTTTTACAAAAATCTTTCCACGTAGAATACTTGCACTTTCCGTGCAGAACCTGTGTGGATAATCCACGTTGAAATCCACGCAATTTTTTCAACTGGGTAGCATTTTATGGATCGCTATGATCAAAACTGGCTCGTATAATATTGTAATTTGACTTGAAGAATAAATAAATATATGGCTTCGATAGAAAATTGTCTATGCTTTTCCATTTTCTAAAACAAAATGAATAAACCTTAAAATTTATTTTTTCCGCAATTATTTTTTCGAGATATTTAGCTATGAATGTTTAATGGCCATTTTTTCAGTGGAAATAGAAAATTTCAAAAAATCTGATATTACTATCAAAAATTTGAGAAAATTTTTATATCGCATCTATTGGTTAGTTACTTTTTCTAAGAGGGTTTTGATGCTTTTACATTGAGTTATAAATTGAGTATATCGTTATATTTACATGAAAACAACATTTTTCACTCTCTGAAAGACAAAAGTAGCTAAAAAGTACCTTCAAATTTCAAAATATCGAGAGTTCCTGCTGTTGCATCGCTGTTTGTGTGTTCCTGTGACTTCCTAAAACAGTTCTCTTATAAAAATTTCCTGTAGGATCTCGCGAAATTCCTACAGGAGTCCTGTAGGATTCCAATAGGAATTTCGCGGGATCCTATTGGAAATTTTTATAAGGGTTTCCAATGGTAGGTATACGCATCAAGTGATAAAAATGTTAGCCGCGATTGTACCTCAAAAAATGTTTTTTTATAGAATTGCTCATGTATAAATAAAATCTTGCACATGAACGTCATGGGCTTAAAAAGTCCAAAATGATTGTCTAGCTCGGCAACAGACCCTTGAAATAATTATACGGAGAGAAATATTATACTCACTATTGCTATGTTCACTAGAATAAGAGCTCTATAGTTGATGTATATTAATTTTTGTTATTTAACATAGTAATTTTTAGTGCGGTATGTGGTATTTTTTAGATTAGTAAAATTATTTTAAAATAATAATTTTCTTGAGTTAATTATTTTGTTTGTAGAGATTTACTAACAAACATTTGCTTGCCTCTAGAAAACTTACCTACTTAACAGTCGAGTATTAATATTAGCGCTGTTCCCATTCTGAACATTATTATGTATTCAAAATTTTTATAAATGTACCAAACGGACAATTTTTCCTGTCACTTGCGGGAATTTACCATACTCCATCTGTTGTTGAAATCGAAAAGCTTTGATTGTGGTAAAAATTGTTACAATACAAAATAATTTTTGAAATATTCATTTTCGATTTTTTCTCATAATGTATAGTAAAAGTTGCTACATATCAGCAATTTTTAGAATATCTTATAAATATTTTAAAAATACAAAGTTACAAAATTAACTCAATATTACAGTAATATTTAGCATATACATAGTAGAAAACGCCCATAATTCGACTCTGGGGAACTTGTTCTAGCAAATATAGTAATTTTTGCTTGCGAATATGCTGATATTTAATATAGTGTTTCTCTCTGTGTAAATATTTCATAGAATTTGAGGACACGTTTATTACTTCTGTACGATCACTTTCAAACTATTTTAGATGACCAGCAACACTTGAAAACAGGGGACATTTTGCATTTTAATCGCGTTTACTATGAACTGTAGCACCAAGACATTTAATGCAGGACTTTTGATTTAAACAAGCATATGCATATTTGTGGTGGAAAGGGAGAACCGACCAGCTCTATTTTTTCCAACATCGAGTTTATGACGTTAAAAACCTACATTTAGTGTCAACTTTGATGTGCAAGTGTCCGAATGACCGGAAATTGCGTCTATCGTTCGGTACGGCACAATGCCAAACCGACCAAGTCCATTTCTTTCGAGACAAATGGTGACCAGCCAAACCGACCAAGTCCATCTCAGTGAGTCCCACAACACGATATCGAATTAACTTTGGTTTGAAAATGATAGAACATGATATTGGAAGGTTGTATATACAACTCACGCATCATTTGATGCTGTACTGCGATCGTTGGGGCACTTGACGCAGAAATAATGTGCGATGTCTCGTTCGAAATATTTAGCTCGGAATGTTTGATGGCGATTTTCTCAGTGAAAATGGAAATTTTCGGAAAATCTGATATTACCATCAGAAAACTGAAGAAATTTTCTATCGAATCCACTAGTTAGTTTTTTTTCAGGTGGGTTAATTTGATGATTATACAGCGAATTAGAAATTGAGCAAGTGGATTTGAGCACAAGACGTTTCCCGGCAAAACTGACCAAGTCCACTTTTTTTGCTTTGCATCTAAGTTGTTAAATTGATAGTTATATTGGCCAAAAGATACGTCATAGTAGCTTAAAATATCATGGGTACAAAGCTATAGTCATCCGCGTCTAGCTACGTACTCATACGCAACTTCAAACACGTTTTTCTCGAAAACACGAAAAGTGGAGTTGGTCGGTTTTCCCTTTCCACCACTGATATACAATGGCAACATACAAAAGATTGATGATCGTTCACCGATCTTGGAGTTTAATTTTTTACAAAATATTCAGATCGTTCATTGGATAGAAAATGGATGGAGAAAGGGTCGCACTACTATTAGACTTTTTTCTTTTTAGTCTTGAGACTTGAATCAGTGTTGTTAGTTCAAAAGTGAGCGGGTTGAAGTTTTTGCTGATTTTTATTTTGTATTTCGAGAATACGCTGTCAATCTCCATACGAACAGTTAGAACTGTCAGGTTACTACGAATCACTTCGTTTTGTATGTACCAGAAGACATCACCATGCTTGATATCTATCTATAATATCTATCTTAGATTTGGCTGCGGCTCACTGTGTACCCTTTTGCGAATTTTTTTGCCAAAATCAGATTCCCATCGATATAAAATAGATAAAAGAATGTGGAAAGTGTGAAAGAAAAAAAAGTAGAAAGAAAAAATGTTTTCAACATTTAAGTACTTTTAAGATTTTATGGGTTGAGCTACGTTTGAGTACTTTTAAGCTTTTATGGGTTAAAAGTTGGAAACTTTACCTCGTTTTCACACGATTTCTTTTATAATTGGAGTCTTTGAAACACTTTAAAAATATTTAATTCGATGTAAAATTCAATGCCCTTTCAGAATCCGAGTTCAGATTAAAGATTGTAGGCATATTATAAAAGTTATGGTCGCTTAAGCAAAAATTTGGAAATTGCATTGTTTGGTACTTTAATGATTTTGTGGGTTAATATTAATAATAATGAATAATTATTATATATTAGTTATTCTATAATTATTAATTATTATATAATTATTACATAGATAAAATAAATACGTTAAAATAATAAAAATAAATAAATACGGCGCATTAAACACTAATTGTCTATCTTCAAACTATTTGATTAGCTTCTTATTGATACCTGATCTTTGAAAATATTGCAAGTTATTATTAAGAAGTTTTTGGATCTTACTTAAGGCCATAAACATTGCATTGCATTATTGTAAAATGTTAACGTTATAAAGCGTATAATTTTAATTAACTCTTAAAATTATTTTCTGAATGCAAACACATGAGATAGGATAATTTATTATCGTAAAACTTTTTACTGATAAATTTAAAAATTAAAATACTTAAGCAAAGCTGATTTTTATTTATGAGCTGTGATATGTGCATATAAGAGCAATTTGCCATGGTCCATTGGAAAGCTGATGAAGAGAAGTTTTCAACATGAATGGATTAAAGAACTTCAAACAGCTCTTATATGCACAATCAGTATAAAATACAAATTCCGAAATTTGTTTTCGAGCAAGGGAAAAGGGTCATTGCATTATCAATATAGAAATTACGATAAAAATATTTTTTTGGTTGAAATAATTTTCAAATATTTTGTTCTAGAAGATTCAGATGCATCCCGTAATGGCAGAATATGATTTTAAAAAAGAAGGTGTCAGAACAGATCTTTCGGAGATGGTACTTTCTAAGTAAGTATAATTAAGAATAAATAAATGACAACTTCAGTTTAATAATAACATTTTATAATAAACTAGTCATCGCTAAAGCGCGTTTCACACGTATTTTTAGGTGCGGTACTTAGATTCAATTTGTGTAATTTGTATTTATATGAAAAAATCTATTAAATCCACAAAGTAAGTTTCCAAAAATCATGAATTGCATTAAATATTGTTTTTTCACCAATTAATTATTGAAGGAGATACGACATTTAAAAATGACCGAAATCTTATACTCATTGTTTAAATACAATACCAAATAACAAAATAGTATATTTTTAACACTTACAAATATTTAAATTATGGAGCCAATAAGTTTCTTTTCATGCAGAAATGAGAAATGTATTTTTTTATTGCCACTTGTCGACATTCTTAGCATCATTCTGCTCCATAGAGCATCGCAATGAAGTGCCATTTTCAGCTCATAGCAGCAAGATGTTCCTAATTGAAAACTCCATTCTGCATGACATTATTTTGGCAGCCTGTATGATAAAAATATTACAAATCAAAGCTTGGCAAAAATCAAAATTTTGATCCAGTTTTCAGAATCTTCTACTGAATATTTCTCGAAACGGCTCTTTATCAGCAACTTTCGGAACATGAACATAAAGGTTTTTATGAAACTTTTCCGAGAAATGTTTAATACGAGATTCAGAAAATTCATTATCTTCTTAAACATCAAAGAGTTATATTCATATCTGTAAAGAATAATGTTCGTGTAAAACTCTTTCCGGCAAAGGACTACACTGAACGAAATCATTATTCCAGTTACGGAAAAATCGGTATCATGTGACTAGAAAACTGATTCTTCTAGTCAGAAAAAAAATATTTCATATCACGTAGAGCTCCCCGGCTGAGGCAAAGGTCCAGACCTCTGCATAACCTTGAAAGTACCACTATCGTAAATGTTGAACTCTCCACGCACGCTGGTGAATTAACATCCTATATAGTGTATGAGCTCGACACTGCTCAATTGACACTTTGAACACAAGTACGATGCTACTAGCAATCTGACGTCTGCTGCTACTCATACACACATACGAATACGTGAGATACGTGAGTGATGCATACTCTGTATATCACATCAGATTCGTCACAGTGTTGATTGAAGCCAGGATTTGGCTGTTTTTTGCCCATTTTACCTGATTTTCGACTACATGGTCGAGGTCGATTGATTTATTGTGTTATCTCAATGCAAAGTGCATCGTCTAAAAGTACTCTTTTCAACGAGAAATTTAGAAATAAAAAGAGTTCTATACAATCATTTTAGCGTCCTCTAGGTCGTTTTGAAGATACCATAGAATGTATACGTAAGATGCCTCACATCGCGTCGATTTTAGTTAAACGTGGCATTTGGTTAATGGTATCTTCAAAACGACCTACAGGCCGCTAAAATGATCGTAGAGAACTCTTTTTTTTCTAAATTTCCCGTTGAAAAGAGTACTTTGAGACGATGCACTTTGCATTGAGATAACACAATAAATAAACTCCAGGTACACGTTGAAACGATCCATTTTTTAAAGAAATTCATAAAAATCCGGTTTTCTTCGAGCGCGCCAAATTTTTCCTGCTTTAAAAATTACCTCAGTGGGCATTTTTCTTGTCAGTACTTATCTCGAAGAAAAGAAAGAGACCGCGGGCGATGGTGTTGAATTTAAAAATCGACCTCGACCATGTAGTCGAAAATCGGGTAAAATGGGCAAAAAACAGCCAAAATCCCGGCTTTATACGCATTACGTGGTTCCATATCTTAATTCTGAGCTTAGGTGGTGGTTGAAACATGTTTATTAGCCTATAAGTTGATGAATCGCGGAGTTTAGAATCGCAAAACATCATTTTTCCATTTTTGGCGCGTGGTAGAGTGAAAAAAGGCGAATTTGAGCAAAAACCAGCGAAAAAAATATTGATCGACGTTGAGGAGATAGAAAGAATTATTTGTACGCGCCTGCCTTGAACGAGCTTTCATTTTATACATAAAACTAACAGAAAATCACTATTACAAATCGATTTTAGAAAATAGCCTAAAAACGGCCCACCCTAATGAGCATCTCATGATTCAAATGCTGTATGAATGTACACATGAGCACATACAAACGCGTGCCCACTACAACTGTCAAATTTCGAATTTTGAAATGACCGTTCGATTGCCTGATTGGACCCTTACAAATCCGCGAGCAGCCGAATCGCCAGAATCGCAACGTGCCCTTATACTGGAATCATATAGGAAATTTTTATAAGGGTGTCTCGTTCAGTGAGAGGTCCGTCATGAAATGCAGAAAGGCTCAGACTTGTTTGGTTATTTTGGATAGCAGTTTAGTTGCTCGCTCGTATGATGATGAATTTGACGATTGCTTAGTAACGGTTATTAAAATATTGTAAAAGAAGGAAGGTGCACGTTTGTATGTGCTTATGTGTGGGCATTTATAACAGCATCTGAGTCGTGAGATGCTCATCTGGCTTTGTGGGTGTGTCTGTGTAAGTGCAGTGTTTAAAATGTTGCCAAAGTCAGTGGCAAGCACTTACTCTACTCGCCGTGTATGTAAATAAGTACGTGTGTGTCTAATATTTTGTGAACGTAGATGAGTTGAGCATCACTGCAGACGAATCTGATGTGATCCAGAGAGCACGAGGCGAGTGTAAGCCAGTCACGAGCAGCTCAATCTCATCGGTTTTGTATGTGTGTTCGAAATCTGTGTTTAATTTACTGGAGCGGTCGTGGACTCAGTGGTTCGCGTGCTAGCCTCGAAAACAATAGGCCACTTGAGGAGCATTGGGTTTGAATCTCGGTATGGACAGTTTTTTTCCGAGTGTCATGCGGCGGGATAAGTACCCTATGAGCTCCTGCTGTCGCGGGGCGGGTTTTTCCCTGGGTATACCTCTAGCACGAACCCACTGTTATACACATCCAGGTTTTTCCTTACACCACAGGTCTTCGGGCTAGGGCAAATGCGAGAAAGTAGCAGCTAGGGAGTAAAAAGAAGGTAGGTAGTGGATTAGTGGACCCGTTGCCATTGGCAGGGTAGGTCAGCCTTACCGGCGCAGAGCTGACCCCAAAGGGCTGATCGGTGAAGCTAATTGCCTCAACCCGATGCTAAGGCAGAGAGCGTTGGCTTAACCGGTGAGGATTGTCGCTAGTGTACAGGGCGACATATCTGGGAAGAGGCTGTACGTAGTGAACTATACACCGATGCGCCAGTAGGCGCAGGGAGTGTCAGCCTTACTGACACGGTTTGGTACCGGAGACGTTCACTCAGTGCATGCAGGAAAGATAGAAGTAGGAAAATGGTGTGGCAATACACCCCCACACATAGGTGGTGAGTGGGTGGCCCCACCTTCTAGGCCAGTAGGCTTAAGCTGCTATCAAAAGATCTATCTAATATGTGTTTACTGTGTATGCGTAGCAGCAGCCATGAGACTGCTAGTAGCCTCGTGTTCATGTGGGTAATGTACAAAGTTTCAATACAGCAGTGTCAAGCTCACACACTGTGCAGTACTGCGCGGAGAACTCAACAATTGGGAAGTGATACTTTTAAGGTTATGTAAAGGTCTGGGCCTTTGACTCAACCACGGGTCTCTACGTGATAAGAAAAATTTTTTCTTCTGACAAGAAGAGTCAGTTTTCTTGCCACAAGGAGAGTGATTTCTTGTGACAAGAAACTTTTCTACATGGAGCAAGAAAACTGTTTTTATGTCGCATGATACCGACTTTTCCATTACTGGAATAATGATTTTGTTCAGTGTAGGATTAATGTTGAGAACGTAAATTACTATTTTTTTAAAGGTTAATGCAAATTATAAATTATTCTCTTCCTACTGTGTTCGTAACACTTTTAAGTGTAGCATTCATGCGCTGTATCAAAAAGAGTTTTTAGCAAACGTTTCTCGTAAAAAAATTTTTTAGAGGTACTAATTTATTTCTTTGGGGCTTAAAACCAGTAAGTTGGTTCATTTTTGCATACATTTTCGAAATTACGATTAGGTCATGCGCACTCTCAAGTCTTTATGAAGAGAAAACCGGGCTTAGAAATTCTGAAAAATAAGGCGAACCGATATCGATAGCTTTATGAAGTTTAAATACATAGTACTAGAAATGAGCGAAATCGGTCAACTTTAAAATAGATTTCAAACTCTGCCCTAAGAGTAAAAATGATCTCGAAAATAAATAGCCTCGGAAATTTTACAAGTAGTGTTTTTACTCGGTTAAAATAAGTAATTCTACAAATAAGCCACTAAATCAAAATTCCTGACAAGAAAATCTGTAGAATATTCAGCAAAACTTTTCTGCATGACTTTTTTGTAGAAAACTATTGTATTGTTTTCTTTCATTTTTTTCAGATATAAGTGTGAAAAAAACGAAGTCCCAATAACTTTGACAAATGGTTCAACATTACCATTGGTGGAAAGATCAAACGACGAAGAAACTGAGTCATACAATCCATTTGAACATAGAAAATTAACGCATCCTACAACTGATGCAGATACCTTGATACATTTGTTGAAAGGTAGTTTGGGATCAGGAATTTTAGCGATGCCCATGGCTTTCAAAAGTGCTGGCCTATTTTTTGGACTATTTGCTACTTTCTTTATTGGTGCCATATGTACCTATTGTGTCCATATTTTGGTTAAATGTGCTCACATTCTTTGCAAAAGAACGCAAACCCCCAGTTTAGGTTTTGCAGAAGTTGCTGAAGCAGCATTTCTCGTAGGACCAAGGCCAGTTCAAAAATATGCAAGATTAGCAAAGTAAGTAATAAAAACTATTTTAAGTAAAATCACGTTCAGAATATTTATGACTAGTTTGAACACGTTCAAATTTACTTATACATGAAGTAACCTATTCGTTATTTTTCATGTTGACCTAATACTGGCTTTTACCCCTTGAAAAATATTTTAAGTAAAAATGAAATAAAATCACGTTTAGATCTCAAGAAGTACCACCAGACTAACAATAATACAACAACCAATGCAAGCCCTACTGTTAGATACCTTACTTGAAAAAATCCTGCTGATGTAGTTTTGCTTATGCATGTATATAAATCTTAAGAAAAAAATTCGAAATAAACGTAATTGTTTTTCCATATATTTATAACAAAAACAAGTATAAATGATCAAATTTAATGGAATAACAGAAAATTATAGGCTACGATCATTAATTTAATTTATTTCATTTCCTAGTATTCTAGAAGCAATGTTATAGCTGTTTAAAGTTTTATTGAAAATTCTTGTACCATATCTGTGAATTGTTAATCTAGTAGAGCCTGCTTGATTCTGCCGTTTGATATCCAATGTTGATTTTCTTTCATTCTCACCAAAGAGGTGAACTTTTAAAGGGTGATTCCAAGTAATAAAGTGATTTAGGGCGAATAATCGATAGGCTAACGTAAAGTCTAGAAGTATATCAACATTTTTCTCTTCAAAATAGCTATTGTTATTCAATTATACCTCACTTGTCTTTTGAGTCTCGAATTAAAGTTTGACTGCTCTGCTTACACAATAACTACAAAAAATTCTAAAATTACTTCATTTACACACAACAAAATAAAAACAAAATTCATAATGAAACCATTTTGGAAACGATAAAAAAATTTGTAACTTTATAACTTTTTATGGATCCTTAAATAAGTTTTTGAAGTTTCTTACAACATACAAATCCTTCAATACAAGACAAACCACGTCTCGCTACGTGCCTCTGTTGGAAAGTTACGCAAATTCTATATTGCCGGACGCACACACAGATATTTTACGAAATTTATAAAATGAATAAGCCCTGAAAAATGTAAAAAATTTTTTTGAAAATGGGCCTCTGTGTCTAAATATAGCTGTGCGCAGAGTTCACACCAGATTTTTAAAGTTAAAGACCTCTGATTTGAACCAAATTGTTAAAAAAAATGTCTGTTATGAGCTGAATAACTTAGAACTTTAATTTAGATCTTTATATTAACTTTATCATTTAATATGTGCTCTAAAAGCTCTAGTACAACAATGAATTTTCTAATTTTTTGCTTTTGACCACATTTGTTGGTGTAAAAACGTTTTAATAAAGCTCAGCATATAGAGGATATTTTTTTAAAGAGTTTATCTCAAACCAGACCCCTCTATTTTAAAAATTATAATGATTCCCTGCGGTAATTCATCGTCATTCTAATTTTTAAAAACTCTTCAAAAGTCTGAATAATTTTTAAAAATTCTAATAAATATTCGGATATTGTAACATGATTTTAAACAGTAAATAAAACTTCATACAAGTTTTAAATGATATGAATGAATTTTAAAAATTTATGTGTTACCTGATATTTGGTTTCCGGAATATTTAGGCGGGTAACGTAATCGTTTATTTAATTTAGAAAAATGTTTACAAGTGACAATAATTGTTATAAATCGTGTAATTAAGCGTTGATAAAAGTTTTCATTATTTTTAAGAACTTTTTTATAAACCCAGTTGAAAATAGTTGCATGGATTTCCTCGTGGATCAGCTACGTGGAATCGATGCTGATCGGAGATAGATTATGCGTGGAAATAGCGTGGAAACAGCGTGGAAAGTACATCGATTCCACGAGGACAGTTTATAGATTCCACGAGGAAAGATCATAGATTTCATGTAGATTTTTACCAGTTTATCCACGAGGACTTTCTTAGACGATCCACGACGATTGATAGCTCAGTCGCTAAAGTATCAGCTTCAAAATCAAAACATCCCCGGTTCAAATCCTACTCACGGGAGAAACTTTTTTTCATTTTTTCGATGACCAAAATTTCCTCGTGGATCGTCTAAGAAAGTCCCCGTGGATAAACTAGCATAAATCTACATGAAATCTATGATCTTTCTTCGTGGAATCTATAAACTGTCCTCGTGGAATCGATGTACTTTCCACGCTGTTTCCACGCTATTTCTACGCATAATCCATCTTCGATCAGCATCGATTCCACGTAGCTGATCCACGAGGAAATCCATGCAACTATTTTCAATTGGGAAGGTATGCACGCTCGCCAAATGTCATGGTGAAAACCTATACGAGCAACAATACGAACAATAAAGAAAAAAATTTGAAAAATTATGTACTTTTGAAGAGTACTTTGAAAAATGAAAATCCTAAAAATTTTAGCCCTCTAGGTCCATTTCTTATTAATCTACAGGGCTTCCAAGTTGAATTTCGTTTTTCTGATGTTATTCTGCTTGTAATTATGATTTTCTGGACTTAATGTGAACATTTCTTAAATCATGATTATTAATGGAAAATTTGATGTAAAACTCAAGTTTTTTTTAGTAGTCATATTTATAACCTCAAAAATCCTTAAATATGAGAAAATATCAGTAAATAGAATAAAAGTCCAAAAGTGAAATTCGTCTTCTTCGATTAGGCCAGAATTAAAAACCCGCTGCCAATTTATTGGCAAGGAGTTTCCTCCAAAGATGGTTTGGAGACCAAAAAATTTTTTTTACCTTTGGTACCATTTCAAACTGGGAATGATTACATTAAGTTAAAAATGATTAAAATTTTCATAAGTGTGTGAAATTATAAGAAAACGAAAAAATTATTTTTAAAATTTGAAAAAAAATTGAAAAAAAAATTTTTTTTCTGCGTGAATAAAAAGAAATGTGATGGGCTTTATCCTTAATACATTCGTCAATAAATGCAATTTATTTCAAGAAAATTCAAGGCAAACTTAAAAAGATGTCAATTGAGAAAAATCGATATTTATTATTATTGTTCCAATTTTTAAGAACCTCTAAACACATTATAACACCAAACTGAAGGTAAATTTGTTTTCCCAGAGACTAATCTACTATAAATTTGTTATAAAATATTTAAAAGTAAGAAAAAAGTATTAATCCCTTATAAAAATTCCCTACAGGATACCGCGAAATTCCTGCTGGAATCTTATAGGATTTCTGTAGGAATTTTGCGGGATCCTATAAGAAATTTTCATAAGGGATACTTTGTATTTTTATACATTTTACTTAAATCTATTTTTAAAGTAGCTTGGTCTCAAATAAAACAAAATAACCTTCAATTTGATTGTCTTAAAAACTTTTTACCAAAGCTATAAGTGTTCAAAGGCTCTCTAAAAATTCAATTATCTAATTCACTTTGAACCATTGATAAATTTTGTACTTCATTCTCCAATAAAACTTTAAAAACCTGTAACTTTGGTTCTAATGAACTCAGATACTTTTAACACAATGAAATTAAAGGTAATGATCTGTATTTTACGTTGTTGTGTCTAAGATTATATCTAACGCACCTTTTGAAGCCGAAATCCTACTTTTTTTAAAGAAAATAATTCTTTTAGGGTGATATGGAGCCCTAAGAAAATATGGAAAAAATTTTTTCTAATTTTTTCATTCAAAATACATTACCTTGTATTTTTCAAAAAATGTTCATAGAGGACGCTAGCTAGTGCAATTATTAATAAATCTCTTTATCCGCCAATAAAAATTTTACAAAACCCAAACTTAAATCTTTTCAAATATTTACTCAATTAAATTATTAAATCTCATCTTAGATATGAATTAAATGTAGAATGTTTTTATCTCCATTAATTAACATCTTTTAACTTTTTCAGGGCTACAATTAATCTATTTTTAGTCCTGGATCTTGTAGGTTGTTGTTGCGTTTACGTTGTATTTGTTTCCGAGAATATTAAACAAGTTGCTGATTTTTATATGGAACCAGATTTAGATGTTAGAATCTATATGATAATGGCACTCCCATTTCTTATTTGTCTTTCTTTGGTAAGAAATTTAAAATATTTAGCTCCATTTTCCATGGTAGCAAATGGATTCATTGCTGCAGGTCTCGGAATAACATTTTATTACATATTTTCTGATCTTCCATCAATTGAAAATGTCAACAAAATATCTTCCTGGAAAGATATGCCATTATTTTTTGGTATAGCAATTTTTGCCTTAGAGGGCATTGGTGTGGTAAGTAGGTTTTTGTATATATTTTTAATAGAAAAAAATTTTATGTTTATATCATGTTCTGAACTTGGTTTCTTATTTTCCAAAAGTATAAATTCACACGAGTTAATTTATACTTCTTTCATACCTATTACATGATTGAGGTTCTTTTAACATTTGTTGAAAAATGAGACCTACACTATTTGATAAATTAAATCACGCTGAATTCAATGGTATAATTATTTATGTGGCTCGCGCTTCAAAATCTCAAGATATTTTATCTCAAAGTATGAAATTTTTGACATCAGCCTTATGGAACGGCCAGTTCATAAATTATTTATAAACAAACATTAATTTGTTAGGGTATCGGAGTGTACAGGACTTATAGAAAAAAATCCTCATCTTTCAGCCTATACATCGTACATCGTACAAAGTGAAAAAAACGATGTTTTTGTTATGAATCAGCTGATGCCAGGCTGCGCAGTGCGGACTGCGCATACAAAATGTACAGCTCTAGACAAGAGTTCACTATAGAAAAACTTGTACTGAAAAAACCTCCTCAAGAACTTCGAAAATATTCAATCGCTAATTTATAATAACTGCAAACTATAACATTACCTAAATTAGACTCAAATGATGAAAATAAAAAGCTAATATCAAGATTAGGCTTGATCTTGCGGCAAGAACCCAGTAAATCTTACTGTTAGAATACTGAATTCTTGCCGCAAGATTCAGTTAATTCTTGTCATTACATCTGACCGATACCCTGCAAATATCAATCAGTCAACTGGCCAATGTTATGCCAGCCTTCTACTGATCAATACATGAACTAAGAAGGCTTATGCAGCATGACTGCACGTTTGCATTGCAGTATTTTAATATACCCTATCGATCACTTATCAAAATTTACCTATTGGCACCGCTCACAAGCGACTTTTTATAAGTAAAGTTTTTATATTGAGATAGTCATATCAAGGTGTCCTATCACAATACTCTTGTATAAGGCTTCGCATATTTACAACGTCCGGAGTTTATGTGGCACTTGAAATGTTTGCACTGTAAGACTACTTCACTGTCTATTTTTTTCAAGGCATGAAAACATACTTAGCAGGCGGTGTACTGCTATACAAAAGTGCAGTCATGCTTTAGAAACCTTCGGCTACCCAACTTAATACCAACAGACGTCCTATAATATAGGATCAATAATATATAATATTATTGATCAACCAATTTGACTCCGATAATACTCGAAGCTGTAACCGTGAAAGTTACGAGTGAAAAGGGTAAATAATTATTAATCAATAAAATAATAAATATTGTATTGGTAGCGTTAGCGACCGGGCCCAGTTACCTCAAGGAAATAAGAGAAGAGAGTGCACAGGCAAATAAGCAAAACGAAGGGATTAAGTTTAACCAAAAGAATAATCATTATTAATAAATGAATGAGTAAGTAAATTACAGCCGTTACAAATTGCGCCCCACGTTGGGCGCCATTTGTAACGGTTATTGTTACCTGTGTCGTCGGTAATTTACCACCACCTGGGTCGCGTTGGCAACCGGGTCCAAGTTGCCTTAAAAGTATCAAGATAGGGTGCAGAGGCAGGCAAATAAAAGAGTCAGATTTAATAGGGGAAAAAGTAACAAGTGGTTATTATTAATAATGATTCAATCGATATAGCCGTGCTCTGGACGGCAACTGGTGCAGTACCACGTCGCGTGCGAGTATTCGCCTAACCCGGCGAATGCGGGTCGCAATGCAATTGAGAGAGAGACAAAGTCAACGAAACTGGAACTTATAGAAAAGTTGCCTCCGACTGTGATGTCCACTGCCTGAGTTCACGACGCTGGATTGCGGGGCACGCTCACACACTCTTTAACAATGCACTCGTTGCATACAGATTAATCTCGTGGTGTGAATACAGCGGGCTTACAAGAAAGGCCGATTTCAGCTTATACGCACTTGTTGCTTGAAATCGGGCCAAAACTGTACTTTATCTGCAGCTCGTTGCTACCTTTCTCATTAGCCGCAACGCGCTCGCGTTTCGAGCAATATTTCCGTGCATGCAATTACTCGGAACTTGCTTGCGCTAGCTCAAACCTAATAACAAAGAATCTGAAGGTCAGATACACAGACCAATGTAGCTTAGACGATTCTGCATCCTCACAGAATTTGGTTTTGCCTGGGTAAATATTAAGATTCTATTTAGTGTGATGATTACAAAGGCACACAAAAAATGTATATGTCCAGAGGATTGAGGTACAAAAGGTCTAATCTAAAAAGTCCAGTCCAAAAGGTCCAGGCCGTAAGATACAACAGCAAACATAGGTCCAAAGTCCAAAATGTCCAAAAAACCTTGAATCCATTGTTACGTTCAATTGTTTATTTAAGCCAACAACATGTTAGTTCATAACTTTCCGCTAGGTGGCACGTACACAATAAGTCGCAGTGTATAAACAAACTATGGCTGAGAATTGTTAAGAGTCGGGGTGAATAAAGCTCCGGCATGTTCCGGGTTGAACTAACTTGTTATTTTTCATTGATTGATAAATACGGGAGCCTTTCAACGAGACTAGCAAAGGATCATTGCTTTTGCTTCTATCACTGATTGGCTAATAGTTTCTACTTTTCAACGAGACTAGCAGAGTTTATTACAACTGCTTCTCTCACTGATTGGTTACCGTCGAATTATCATTCTACAGAAGGTAGCGATCAAAAGCACTTCTAAAGAGAGGTAATTTCGACTCATGCCCAAGACCGTGCAGCAGAAGAAACGAAGGCGGATATATCAGCGGAGATCTCGGGCTTGTAAACGAGAGCTCGAGAAGAAGATCGAGGAGGAGATCGAGAAGGAGTTTACGGAGAAACTCGAAGAAACACCTAAGGAGGAAGAGTCAGACCTCGTCGATCCCCGATCATCACCGCCGACCACAACGACATCTAGGTCAATTCTGCATCTTCCGCTTCCACGTTGGGCACGAGACTTTCTTAAGCCAAGGCCAACAGCGCCCTCCATGCCAGAACTAGAATACGATCCCGAGCATCCGTACTTCTAGTCACAGCACTCAAGAGAACAATCAGTCAAGGTATTTTAGAACTGGTTGAGTATTTTAGGACTCAAAAAGAGACTAATAATAACTATTCTCATTGTTCTCCCGTTCCTCACCACACATTTCTAATTATTTATTGCCTTACGGTAATACCATAAAGCATAGGCCCAAAAAATCAAATATCCACAGAAACAATAGAACAAAGATATATGTAAAAAAATCCTTTATTAAAAGTGTAGGTAATTGCCAAGGTCCTTAATATATTTTAGCTGCAAATCGTTTTCCACGTATTCATCATAACTCATTACTATGTTCATATTTCAATCCTTGATTGCGATGAAGGGACTATCAGGCTTTTTTCGAACATGGTTATTTTGGGACTTTAGTCATTTTTTTCATATTTAATGAAAAATAGTACACTTGTTGAATTCTAACATACAAATTCGAAATCCTTGTTGTTTTTTACCAAAAAACCTATGTTTATTTATTTTTCATACTGTTGAATAGCTTTGGCAGGTGTAATGTCACTTTAAACACTCTATCGTTGAGACTCTGTGTACACCAGTTGCAGAGATCCTAGACGTCTATTGCTTGGTGAATTTTCCCCTTTTTACATAAAACCACAAATATACATATATGCACAGCAGCTATGCATTTTTTATTATTGGATTGTTTTGGGGTTGGATTAAAATTAACTTTGGATATGAATTTCATTGGACATCAGAAAATTGGATATTTTGTACCTTTGGACATTTTTTTGAATTTTGAGTTTTGGACCTTTTGTCTCCCTATTGTCCAGAGACCATACTTAGTGGACTGAGAACCCGATGTTGGCTTATCTAGGTTAACTCATTTTCAAGGTATTTGAAGATCAAATTTAGAGGTAACATAGCTTTATGTGATGGAAACTATTTTTTTTTTTTTTTTTGAAAAATTATATTTTAAAATACAAAAGTTCAATCAATTTGAAATTTTTACACAACAAAGTTTATCTATTAGAGAAGCTGTAGAATTAAACTTAATAAATTAACTAAATTAAATTAACATAAATAAAACTAAAAAGCGTATTTAGAAAAAGACGCACAAATTCAGCAAAAAATGGACAAAAAACTCATTTAAACTCGTGCTAATTTTTATTTTTATCGATTCTTTTTGCACTTGTCTTTCGTTCAATTACTAGCCAAGAGTATAAACTTTGAGAAATATGTCGAATTGACCTGTACCGCAAGACCGAGCTGACAGGAAAATTGATGAAAAATTAACAATTTTCTATATTTTTATCTGAAAATTTTTTCACAAATTCTCTAATAGATTAACTTTGTTGTGTAAGAATTTCAAATTGGTTAACCTTTTGGTTTTTAAAAAATAATTTTTCAAAAAAAAAAGTTATAGTTTCCGTCACACAGCTATGTGTAATGAGCCCTTTTCTTAGCTCAATTATTTCCATAATAAAATAAACTTACCGTTGTCTCACAACTTGAGCATAGTGTATACGGATGGGTTTAAAATAAAATAATAACATTCATATATTTTTAATGCACACTCTGATTTATTGTTTCTCGTTGTTATATCTAATTTATAAACAAAAAATTAGCTTACTAATTGTTGTTATAATCAAATATCTTCGGTGGCGTAATTGCTTAAACGTGGGTTGGCCGCTACTTTAGGGTTGAAGGTGGCATTCGCTGTTGCGAAGTTGATGGCTATACTTCGGGGAATTTCTAGGCACAAAGCCTGCCAAACAGCCGAGGCTTTGAAGACACTGTAGCTGTTATAGCTAGTATATTTAATGTTCAGTCTATTTTCACCACACTCAAGCTCACTCCCAAAACACTCAATTAGTAATTAGGAAATTTGATCGTGCAGAGCTTCTCCCTCATTAACAGTTGTAAGTCTCATGATTTTCTGGCATAGCTCCGCTGTACTCAACTGTAATATCCGATTTGCTCCCGAGCTGGACTTCTGCCCCGCTTATA